TATTACCTAAACAAATATAACCACTCAGCTATCCAACCAATAATTGTTCAATTGATCAAATCTAAACTACAATAAATAAGAAAGTTGATAAACGATGCAAGAAAGTTACCAATCACCACAAATAAATGTTATTCTATCCTGTCTGGATAGATCACGTACAGATTCGTTCAAAAGGTAATAATTGGTCGCTCTATAACACAGAGTGTTTTCAGTTCTCGAATAGTGCTTCAATTCACAACCAAAATGCAAAATTGCAGTCAACACAGGTCAAGCAATCAAAAGCAAGAACAAACCAAAATGGCTGCCGCCCAGACTTAGCATAAAGTAAAACAACATAAGTGCAGCTCGGGAAGAAACGCGTGAAATTAGTGAAGGTGTAGTAAAAACGAAAACTATAATAAAATACAAATATTAACAATTCAAATGTAGTCAAAAGGTTGACAATGTACAACTAAGAGGATCAATAGGAACAAGATGCAAGTACATACATGGAGGGATTTTCAAAAACACACAAAGCATTCAAAATGGATCTTACAATCGTTAACTACAAACATTTTGAAAAGCCGTGTAAAAGTGTTACTATGTTTTTCATTAGACGTTCGAGTTTTCCTGATTACAATTCTTAGTAATCCAAAGCCATCATTATCCTTGTTTACTCCTGTTAATCCCAGTCGAGCGTAGGCTCTGTCCTGGGCCTTCTCATGTCCGTCTCCATTTCTCGGCGTAATGTGTTCTTTGGTCTTCTTCTTTTCCTTTGGCCTTCAGGATTCCATGTGAGGGCTTGTCTTGTGACACAGTTGGGTTCTTTACTCAGTGTGTGTCCTATCCACTTCCAGCGCTTTTCCCTGATTTCTTCCTCCACTGGGATCTCGTTTGTTCTCTCCCACAGCAAGTTGTTGCTAATAGTGTCCGGCCAACGGATCCGAAGTATTTTGTGTAGACAACTGTTAATAAACACCTGTATTTTCTGGATGATGGCTTTCGTAGTTCTCCAGGTTTTCGCCCCATACAGTAGAACTATCTTAGCATTTCCATCGAAAATCCTGACCTTGATGCTGGTTGACAGTTGCTTTGAGTTCCAGATGTTCCTCAGTTGTAAATATGTTGCCCTTGCTTGACCGATCCGCGCTTTCACATCTGCATTATATCCACCCTGTTCATCAATGATGCTGCCCAAATATGTAAAGTTTTTACATCTTCTAAATCTTCTCAGTCAATTGTGATTGGATTGGTGCATGCTGTGTTATATCGGAGAATCTTGCTTTTCCCTTTGTGTATATTGGGAACTACTGCTGCCACACTGGTCGTTTTCTCCTTCATTTGTTGTTGCGATTGTGATAGGAGGGCCAGATCATCTGTGAAGTCTAGATCGTCCAACTGCATCCTAGCTGTCCGCTGTATCCCGCTTTTCCCTTCAGATGTTGACGTCTTCATGATCCAGTTGATCAGCAAGAGAAAGAGAAAGGGTGAGAGTAAGCAACCTTACCTGACACCGGTCTTTAACTCGAACGAGTCTGTCAGCTGTCCTCCATGCCCGATTTTGCAGTTTCTTCTGACATAAGAATTCCCTACGATATTGACTGTTTTCTCAATCAAGCCGTAGTTTTCGAGAGGCCTCCCTCGTGTTGTCCTGAGCACTCTATCTAATTGTTTTTCGTAGTCAGTGAAGTTGATGTAGAGTGATGAATTCTATTCAGTCGATTGTTCTAAAATGATCCCAAGTGTTGCTTTTTGGTCGGCACACGATCGATCCTTACGGTATCTAGCCTGTTGATCTCGAAGTTGGGCATCTACGGACTCCCTCATTCTGTTTAACAACCCCTGTTAAATACTCTTCCCGGTATTGAGAGAAGAGTAACGCCCCTGTAGTTATCACAGTTTCTGGGATCGCTTTTCTTTGGTATTTTGATCAGAAGTCCTTCTTTCCAGTCTGTTGGTACTTGTTCTTCATCTCAAATCTTATTGAAGAGAATGTGGAGTATCCTTGCAGTTACCGCTACGTCTGCTTTCAGTGCCTCTGCTGGAATGTTGTCTGGTCCCGCTGCTTTGCCACTCTTGATTTGTCTGATGGCCATGCTGATCTCTTCAATTGTCCAAACAGGTTACATAAATATCGCGGTCTCAACCGTCATGAAAATCTTGTCATACATCATTCGACTATTTCTTTTACTCTTTTAAAATAGATAGATGCTCGAAATAAAATATGTCAAGCTATTAATCTTCCTGGATGTGAACCTTTTAGGAAACTTCATAGAACATTGAAAAGGCGTTTAGTGGTACAAATTAATGGCAGATAAACGCTATTTGCTGTTGATGGCTTGAATGTAATCATGAATACATCTATTGACGCGATTGACAAGTGCAAATGATATGGGCCAGATTTGTTGTGCTTTCCTAAATTTGAAAATGTTAACGATTTGAAACGGGTAAGTCATGGTTTTTCTCTGAACATAGTTTAGTTTTTACAGTTAAACAACTTTTATTTCATGAAGTAAATTTTCAGTCATGTGTTGCGTATCTGTTATGGGAAAATTACGGTATTGAATATCACATGACCCAAATAAATTAAAACTGGTTCGTCAAATATTTTTACAACAGTATTCTGATACGTTTCGGTAATCATTTCTAAATTCTTTTCTAAACACCAACTAGAATGAACGATTATCCACTAGTAAATTTTTGGATAATTTCATCTAGCCGCATTCGGGATTGCATCATTGTGATATGAATAACTAACGTTAGAAGGGTAAATAACCTTTAAAATTGTCAATTCTCCCATTCAACTTAATTATTGTAAAGATATTTTAATTCTACTGGCTAATATTTATATTTAATCTTTTATTTTACACGGTTGTGTGTTTGAAATACGGAATAATAGAAGTTAGGGCATCTTGTGTGCCATCTCATATTTTACATGTAATAAGGCGTTTATATCTCCAACCTTCCTGTATTTCTGCTAATCAAATCACTAAGTAATCCACTGACAAAAATACGCCTCACTCATATTAGACCACTGAACTTCACTTTAATCAGTGATACACTTTGACTTGTGGCAAGTAAATTCGAGCAACGATCGTGAATGTCATTACCCTATTCAGATCCTAGCTTTCTTCTAGTTTAATAACCAGTTAGAAGTTGGAACGCAGCAAGCGGATAAAACCCATTATCATATATTGTTTATCAGCATAACCGGAAAATTCATCGGTTTATACACATTAGTTACTGGATCAAGACACACTACAAACAGAGCAGACCATAGTTTGTAATCAACCAAGACGTGGTTGATATATAGCGGAACGAGAGGTGAGTAATTAATTAACAATGATTTAGACAAATTATGACACAACAATGGCTTATATATGAAACATGAAGCTTATAATACGAAGGATATATAAATATCAAGTATCTAGTAACTGTAAAATAACAAGAGACAAAACGTATCTGTGAGATGGCATCAATTCCTCAATATTCACAGCATCCTAACAGAAGACTTATTAGCCTAGACTACGTCGCTTGTTGTGTGTTAGTCTGAAAAAATACTCGGTCTGTACTGCCCTGCACAATGATGCGTGATAGTTAACTCTCTTCTGTAGTACTATAATATTAGTATAACTATAATTTTTAGACAGGGGATGTCCAAATATTTCGGAAAATGTAATTACAACATAATCTACCTATTTGTATGACTGCGCTTATTGAGCAATGTAGAGCGATTTTGGATTTATCCGAGATTTGTGAAGAAGTTGAATTATTTTAACATCTATTAAAATGTATTGTGTTCCGCTCACATGATTATTGTATCAGTCTAGGTGGTTTATTACACATTTTATAAATATACTTGTCTGCAAACATTTTCCACAGTAAATGCGTTTCCTTTTTACATTTTAAAAACTGTGTATGTCGGTGAGTCAAAAACAACGTGGAAGCTCACACATGTATGTGTCATTCCAAGTTGCCGCATTACATAAGCATAGCTAGATGAAATTATCAGAACAAATGGCACATTGCTAAAAGAAGTGATAACTTCAGCAATTCTGAAAAAATTAAGGATAGGTAATATGAGTCGAGAAGAAAGAATGGATCCTCAAAGTAAAATATGTGGTGGTTGTTCAACTTTCATCGGCTCGTTATTTCAGTAAAATTTGTAGGATTATTTGAAATTTATGATTTAAATTAAGAATCCATCTACTCGATTGTGATCGATTTCATGATTTGTTACCCAATGTCTTCAACCACTGGTTAAAACAACTGTGCTGACCTTAGCAAAATCGTCTGGATTTATCTGCATGGCTTAGTTTAAAAATCATAGGTCGTCAAATTTAGTTATATCTAATTAAAAAGTTGAGATAAGATTGTCTTACAGGTATTCTGGATTCAACTTACTAGAAAATTGATCGAAGGTTAAGGAGGACTGAAACGTTGTGTCATTTTGGCTTTTTGTATCTCATCTTTGTGTCTCAATGTGTAATAACACTGGGTTGTTCATCATGATTGTCAGACAGTTTTTATAAACCTCTCAGTAGAATAATGATTACGGTACCTGTAACTACGGCTCTTCTAATAAGGTTGAAATGTTATAATTTAGATATTAGTTCTTCAAAATTCAATGTAATCCATAAACACTGTCAGCACTAGTAAAAGTTATTGACTTGTCAAAATCACACGGTCACAATGAAATCAGTTGGTAATAGTTGTTTATCCATTGTTTATACTCATTCCTAACTAAGTTTGTTCGAATAGTTAGTGACTTGGTGATTAAAGAGTTCCAATTTAAACCACTAGGTCTCAGGATCTAGTCTTGCTCTATCTATTTCAATTTAAATGAATAGATAGTTCGGCTAATTCGCGCACACATGGTGTGTCTGGAAGCCGAGTTAACGAGTCTGTATTAAGCAAATAAGTCATATATATTTACCTATCCTCCCTTCTAATTGAACGATATGTTGTAGCATTTCAGTGATTTATGCTGTTTATTATGTGTTCGTAATGCTATTTTAACATTAGTAACAATAATGGTGTTGTAAGTGTTGATAACATTCTCTTTGTAAAATAATCAATAACAGTCCTAGACGTTGTAAATCAGGGATGCGACGTAAGAAACCTTCATGCAATCCTCGACGTATCGCAGTTTCTTCAACAAACGATTCAACTAAGTCCAAACGTTCTTCAATTTTTGACTTATCTATTAAAGGTTGTCGAAGCCATTGAGCTAGAAGACGCTGGCCTTGAGCTGTTCGACAATTGTTCAATGCGCCATAAACACTGTGAAACTTGTTTTTATCATCTGGACCAGGTAATAAGTGCAATGCCCGACTGGCAGCACTATCTAGGCGTACATGATTTTCAAGACTAAAAGTTTCTAATGTGAATACATGACGATTCGTGTCAAAAGCGTTTAGATCTAGGAATTTTATTATGGCACCCAGACAAGACAATGCATCTTTGAGAAGAAACTTTGTAAAGGTGTTATAAGACATTCGTAAACTGTTGATCGTTACTACAGTAACGACTTCCAAATGTGTATGCGCGTGACATTAATCCTGTGGCTCAGGAACCAATTATTATACTCCCCTTTATCCATAACAACAGGAAGATATCTATCCAAAAAGAATAAACCCTCATTTGATAATGTGTTGTTTGAATTATTTGTATGCCGGATCTACTCGTGGAAATGTTCGTCTGGAAAATGTTTACTTAGCATTTAGTCTGTCTTCTATCAGATGTTGATGATCTCTGGCCGCTGGGTCTGGAGTATTAAGCGCAGAGCCATTCAAAAATACCCGTACATTTCTGATGATAGTTGAAGAAGTTCTTGAAGTTTCCGCTGCCACCTTGCCTATCGATGTTACTGTCCAGGTATAAAAAACATTGTACCTCTTCGAGAGCTGCACACTTAATTGTAATTTCGTTGGCACTCAATGTATTGCACTTCAGGATCTTGACTTTCCGCTTGTGACTGTTAAGGTTTATTCCTACGAAAGCTGCTGCTGCACTGCCTGTCTTGACCTGAACTTGTTGTGTCTGCGATAACAGGGTTAATTCATCTGCAAAGTGTGTCCATTGTATTTCTTGAGATATCGGAGTGTTCATAACCCAGTCAACAGCTGCCATAAGGAGAAAATACGAGAGCGAACAGCCTTATGTCACACTAGTCTTCACGTGAGATGTATCTTAGACCTGCTCTCCATGCACTGCTTTGCAACTCAGTCCTTCGTAGAAATTCTGCATGGTCATGACAGTCTTCTCACATACTTCATAGTGTTGAGGAGATACCACAAGGCTTTTTTATGCACACTGTCAAATGCTTTCTCATAATCAGGGAAGTCAATGGATAGAGGTGAGTTTCAGTTAATGGTTCAACAGTGATCGGTAGCGTTGCACTCTGGCCTTCACATGATCGATCACTACGAAACTAGTGTCTTATTTCGAAATCGGGCGTCTACTGAGTCTTTCATTTGGTTGAGCAACACTGTTGGAGCCTTTCTACGGTGTTAACAGAGGCAATCCATCTGTAGTTCTCGTACCGACTATGATCCCTTTTCCTCGACATCTTTTTGAGAAGTCCTTGTTTCCAATCTGTGTGTACTCGTTCTTCCTCCCAAATCTTTTTGCAGACAACTTGAAACACCCTTACAGGTACTTCTATGCCTGAATTTAGTGCTGTGACTGGTATGCTGTCTAGTCCTGCAGATTTACCATCCCTGATTTACCTAATGGTCCTGGTGTGCTATTCCTTTGCTGGTGCGTTTAGATACACAAGGAGGTCTGTATGTTGCTTTGATGTTTGGTGGATTCATAGTCTCTGGTATATTGAAGAGCTCTTCAAATTATTCCAACCACCTGTCCGTCTGCTCTTGAACCTCGGTGATTGATTTACCCCGTCTCTTCCCGACCGTCTACTGTGGTTTACAATATTTGTCTGCAAGCGTCTTGTCTGTGTCCTATAGTTTTTTCATACTTTCTTCCTGTGAGGTTTGTTATGCTGTAGTTGCCAGGTCTTCCACATATTTTTGATTGTCCACCCTGATGATCTTCTTCGCTCGTTTGTTTGCTTCTGTATATTCGACTTTTGTCTTGGCTTTCTTTAGTTTTGTTCGGTTGTTTTTGACTACTATCTTCTTGTGTTTACTATCTTGAATCTTTGCCCGGGTATCGATATAGACCCACTCTTTGAGATGGTGCTTCTTGGGACCAATCACCTGGCATGTTCAACTTATCGCTCTTTTATTCTCTTCCCAATTGTTTTTCATAGTAATTTCCTCTTATTGTAATAAATCTTTTAAGGCTTGGAACTTGTTTCCGTCAGCTTTTTTAAATTTACTGAGATAGATTATATCCTTAGCTATCCAGATGATCCACTCAGCGTCCCACATTATCGGGACATTCTATGTACTTATCTTAATTGCTACTCTGACCTCAGAAAGATTATCAGCCACTTGGCTATAGAAAGCTCTCGGTTTTCTCCATTTTATATCATGTCCTTGCTCCCATTGGAGATTTCATATGGGTTGATCGGTTTGTTTTTGTTTAAGAATTATAAACAACTTTCTTATCAAAGATAATTTTGTTGACCCTATGCCCAATCTTATTATTTACGAGTATTGGACCGAGCCTTACTGTAGAAGTACTTTTAGTGGAGTGCATTTATTTCAACTTTTATGTTGACAATAACGTGAGTCAAAAACCTGACAACATTGGGTTGCATGAGTACGTATGATGTTATTTGTAATACTTTTATAAGATAAACGTAGTTGAAAATTGAATGCTGTGCATAAGTACAGTGTGCTGTTATTGAAGCTCCACAAAACTCATTAATTTTTCTTTCATCAGACATAGTTGGAATAAAAACTCTGCAGCTTTTCTATCATCAATTTCAAAATAGTGCAGTAATTTGTATCTCTTTATATGGTCGTATTATTTTCCACAACTAAACATGTGTAATTCATAAATTTTAAATCGCAGTCCTCTGAAAGTATAAAATAATAGTGATATTTTTGATAGACCAGTATTGTAACACATGTCTAAACTCTCCATCATCAGCTTTATTTGTCATTGTCCGTCAAAGAAGATTTGGTATGTAAACAGGAAAAATCCGCTAAACAAATGTCGAGAGT